ATTTTTTTTATTTATCTATTTTAATGTGGAATGTTTGTTTTTGAAAACAATTATAGTAAAATCAATTTTTGGTTTACTGCTATAAGTTGTGGAGAAATGTTGCAGACAGTCCCCAAGCAAAACTAATGAGATGGTACTATAAATAGTCAAGAGTAGATGGATTCCAGGATATATAAGGAACTCAAAAATCCTAACACCAACAAGAAAAAAAAAAAAACCCAATCAATAAATGGGATGAGGAACTAAACAGACACTTCACAGAATAAGAAATACAATCAGTCAACAAATACATAAAAAAAGTTTATTATCTCTAGCAATTAGAGAGATACAAATTAAAATTACATTGAGATTTCATCTCACTCCAGTCAGAATGGTAATTATCAAGAATACAAGCAACAATAAATGTTGGAAAGGTTGAGGGGAAAAACATACACTCATACACTGCTGGTGGGACTGCAAATTTGTTCTACTATGGAAAGCAGTATGGAGATTCCTCAGAAAACTTGGAATGGAACCACTATTTGGCCCAGTTATCCCATTCCTTGGTTTATACCCAAAGGACTTAAAATCAGCATACTACAGTAACGCAACCATCGATGTTCATAGCAGCTCAATTCACAACAGTTAAGTTATGGAACCAACCCAGGTGCCCTTCAACAGATGAATGGATAAAGAAATGTGGTATATATACATAAGGGAATATTACTCAGTCATAAGGAAGAATGAAATTATAGCATTTTCTAGTAAGTGGACAGAGCTAGAGAATATCATGCTAAGCAAAATAAGCCCATCCCAAAGAACCAAAAGCCGAAGTTTTCTCTGATATGTGGATGCTAATTCACAATAAGGAGGGTGAAGATAGGGAACAATAGAGGTACTTTGGATTAAAAGGGAATAAAGGTAGGAGAGGGGGTATAAGGATAGGAAGGATAGTACAATGAATCAAACATTATTACCCTATGTGTATATATGATTACATGACCAGTGTGATTCTATATCATGTACAACTACAAGAATGACAAGTTATACTATATTTATGTATAATATATCAAAATGCATTCTACTGTCATGTATAATTATAAGAAATAAAAAAAGAGTAGATGGGTTAATTTCTGTTGTTATTCATTCATTCAGTCTTTCATTAGTTCATTTTTGTGGTGCTACAAATCAAACCCAGGACCTCACTAATACTAGGCTAGTATTCTACCACTAAACCATACCTCTAGCCCTCTGTGCTTTAAATAAACTTTTTCAGAACAAATTTTAGATTTATAGAAAATTCACTGTATTTATTTTTTCTTTGCACTAGACTACAACATATTACAATTGTATCTCCTCAGGCTTCCTTTAGCTCTGTTATTCAGACTTTCTTCGTTTTTGATGACTCTGAGAAGTGTAAGGAGTAATAATTGGGTCTTTTCCTTAGAATGTTCCTCAGCTGGAATTTGATAGCTTTTTGATTACATTGGGGGTCTGGTTTCTTGGGAGGAAGGTCACATAAAGTGCCTGTTTATCATATCATAACAAGGTACATACTACCCACATGATTTATCACTTTTGATGCTGACCTTGATCACATGGCTGAAGCACTGTTTGTCAGGTTTCTCAACTATAAAGCTATTTAGGAATATACCTATTCCTATACCATGCTCTTGACAGGAAGTCATTTTGCCCAGCCCACAATGATGGAATGGGAAGTTATGTTCCACCTCCTTGAGAGTGAAGTGTCAACATAAATTATTTAAAATGTTTCTACACTGGAGATTTGGGGTACATTAGTTTCTGTCTCCATTAAGAGACCTTTAATAGTCTGTCCTGTTAAGTAATTGAAGTTCTACTGTGAACAACCTGCAGCTCGCTTTTTTAATATTTCATTTTTAGTTGTAGTTGGACACAATATATATCGTGTACTGTCCCCTCATCTTAATTAGAAATTGATGACACCTCAAAAAATAAACAAAAACAAATAATACAGAACCTAAAAAAAAAAAAAAAAACCCAGCTTATCTTTGGACCCATCTCGCAAACTAAGCTAAGAGAAAGGGAAGCAAAACAGCCCCTGGTTCCCTAACCCTTATGTAATGTCAGCAGTTCAGAGCAACCTGCCTCCTTTCTTTCCATAGGTCAGGCATTTTGGGAACACACAATATGTGTGTATGAAGAAGGTCAGGGGCTGGGGTTGTGGCTCAGCGGTAGAGCACTCACATAGCACATGCGGGGCACTGGGTTCAATCCTCAGCACCACATAAAAATACAAGTATTGTGTCCAACTACAACTAAAAAACAAAATATTAAAAAAAAAAGGGCGGGGAGGCTGGGGATGTGGCTCAAGCGGTAGCACGCTCACCTGGCATGCGTGCAGCCCGGGTTCAATCCTCAGCACCACATACAAACAAAGATGTTGTATCCACCAAAAACTAAAAAATAAATATTAAAAAATAGTTAATTCTCTCTCTTTAAAAAAAAAAAAAAAGAAGGCAACTGCAGGTTGTTCACCGTAGAACTTCAGTTACTTAACAGGACAGGCTATTATGCTGCAAGCTTAGGTCCACAAAATTACTGGGACAAAGGTATTACTAGCTCAATAAATCAATGATCTTATTAAGCCAACAGACTCTCACCTGTGGAGTGGAATATATGAGATTTGATAATAGTTTTCTTAATGCTCACTCTTCTTTATTTCCCAATTGGATGTTTTCCAAAAGGTTAAGGACATGGATGTTTTAAAGATAAGATCTTACTACCAGTTAAGCAGGCATTTGTGAATAGTGCCAAAGAAGCATTAAGTTCCGGAACAACTAACAGTGGTGCCTAGCATAATCCCTGGCACATGGTAGTATTCAAACGTTTGCTGAATGATGAATAAATAAGTTCTAAGAAGTAGAGAGGACAAGCAGCTGTCTACATTGGTATGTAGCATTCAAATGGCACTGGGTCAATTTTTAGGGCTTGCCATGCTGTCTCTAAAGTCTTTCTTCAAATACAGGCAACATTTAAAAAGACAAAACAGAACAAACACAACAGCAACTAAATTGTGAAAGCCTTACAAATTATTATTACTTAATGTAAAAACACATTAGAATAGTACTGTGGCACACATTAGGTGTTCAACAAATGCTTGCTAAGTTAATGAACAATTTCTCGAATAATAGGTAAAGCAGGTTAGTCTAGAATTTACAAAGGAATTTATTAAGAAAGTTGAACAATCACAAATAGTTCTTTTAGCTCTTCTAAAAGCAGGTTTCTATAAAACTAGAATGCATTTCATTCAAAACAGCACACTCTGCATACCTAGTATGTGAAGCTCAAATTTTGTTGGATAGAACAAATGAAAAAGCAAGCAAATGAACACTCATCTTTCTGAATATGCTACAACAAGGACATTAGTAACATATTATACTTCTGGTTGACTGTTAAGTCCCCAAGAAAAGTAATTCTCAAATTCATTTCATTACTACGGATGAGCAGCTGCATGGCATAAAGTGAAGAGCTCCCAGACTGAAGCCAAACTACCTGAGCTCAAATTCTAGTTCTCATCAGAATGGCTAAAGACTCGAGCAGATCATTTAATTTTTTCTATGATCCCATTTCTTCACCTGTAAAATATTAGAAGAATCATAAAACATACCTCCATAGAGTTGTTATGGAAATTAAATGAATTAATATATATATAAAATGAGAGTGCCTGGCACATAATATATGTTTGTTTAAAAATAATACTTTCACTGCTATGAAATAGCAAAAATGGGATTCTCTAGGAGCCCCCAAAATTAACCTACTATACACATTGAGGCCTATCATCTCATAATATGTGTAAACTTATTTCAACATTGAGGAAAGACAGTTCTTTAAAATTGCCAGATATTTACAGAAGCATTTTTCTTATGTCACTATTTTAAAACAGCCATGCAAAATAATTAAACTGCTAGGGTATTAAGTGCTAAAGACAAAAAGAATGTCAAGGACATATTTCCCTTTCAGGAGAATGAGCTTTGTGACAATTCTTAATATGTAAAAGAATGTAATTAAGAGCCAGGTATGACTAATTTTTCTTGGGCATTTTTAGGCTTGTGAGACTTTAAAGTATATCTCCATAGGTTTACTGGATTTGATGTTTTAATATAGTTTTTGCTTTTGATTAAAAATAAGCTTCTATGTTAAAATTTATTGGTACTATGCTATTATAATTTAAAACAGAAGTTTGTTGGGTTTTTTTTTTTGAGACATACAATATACCAAATATACCAAAGTTATAGACAAGTTCATATGTATTATGATAAAACATGCAATGATCCTACCTAAGTGTTATTTCAGAAAATTAAGTAACCATCACACTGTAAAAGGAGGGGGGCGGGAACCTTCACATTTGAATATAAAACAAAATTTAATTCATAATAAACTGCATTTTAACACTTCTATGTGTATATTTAGTTTCAATATAAAAATATTACTCGAAAGCTGCCTGGGCCATTTTTCACTAAACACTACCAACAGTTACCTAAAATTAGTTGACATTGTACTCAAAATTTTAAATAGCATTTCCAAGATTTCACTTATATACTACTCTCACTTAATGATCTCTACCATCAATATACAGACTCTGCTTACCATTTCCACATATTTCCCATTCAAATATTATTCAATAAATTTAAAAAGCATGTACAGCAATAACTAGCCCAGAAGAAAACTCTAAAAAAATCCCTTCAGGCCTTCAGCCAATATAAAATGTTACCACCCATAACATTTTTACAAAGAAAATTTAAGTTAGAAAATGTATTTTGGCAGCAGAGGATTTTCTGTCTAAAAACTGTCTTGCTAGTAGCCAGGGTAATTTTTTTCCTTTTTGCTCTGCAGTGCTTCTAAGTATAGTGACAGCCGCATGAGGCTTTCCTAGCCTCAGCGCAAGCTCAGTAAAAATCTGGGAAATGCAAGTGGAAACATGAGAGACCGCTTTATTTGGCAGTACTTTAAAAAAAAAAAAAAAAGGCAGGACAAATGGCAAAGCACTGTTTGGACTGCAGGATGAACAATCAATAGGCAGAAAGCAAGATAGAGGCTTCCTCAGCTTTTGGATCGACAATCGACAGCTGAGAGACTATTTTTTGCTATGGTTGACTAAATATGGTCAGGGAAGAGAGAGGCACAGGGGAGCCTGTTTGCCTGGAGTGCATGTTTCAAATGCTTAGCTGCCTATAAAGCTGTAACAGTTTAGCCTGTGGTCACTGAGGGAAGAATATAAGTTAGCCTCTGTAGTGACCATGTGGAAGTCCTGACCTCGCTTGCAGACTTGACCTCTGGATATGACAAGGTAGCTTCACTACAGATCTACCATTTAATCCTGGAAAATCAAAACCAAAAATAATCTCAAAGCAAGAAAGATGCAGAATACTTCTTGAGGAGTCAGAAGAACCCAATGTACTCTGGTGGGCAAAGGAAAACAGGATGAATGTTTATAGTTACTTGGGGGGAGTGAGGTGTGCTTCGGTTTTGTTTTTTTTTTGTATTTTTATATTATAAAATTAATTTCCTTTGCAAGTTTTTCCCCATTCTGAAGCATTTCATCTAACAAATAAACTAAGTACATTTTCTTGGCCATTGTAGCAAAAACTTCCTTGGTTACTTAACTTTCTCTATATATCTGTGTAATAAGTAGTATATAACATTCCAAAGCAAATGGCCAACATAGATTCAATTTTATTTTAGCTTTTGTCTTTTAAGGGGAAGGAGAAAAGTAAGTTATATGCTGTTTATTCATTTGTTTTCAAATTTATCTTAAAAGGTGACGTTCTCTGTTCACTGATACAATCCCCTTACTTCATCCGGCTCATAAAAAGAAGTGCTGAATCAGCAAATAGTGTGAAGGAACAATCAAGATGAGATGGCTGCAGCTGATGTGACTCTCTAGGTCATTACCTCTCTTCTTGCTGCAAATGCTGCATGACAGTAAGCTTCCAGGTAAAACAATACAAGGTCTGTACTTTTAAGGACATTTATGACTTTCTGCATGTTTACCTATCATTGACTGGATATATGCCTTTATTATTAAATGCTACCTGGGCACAGCTAATTTCACAGTTCAAATTGAGAGATTAGGTAGTGTGAAAAGAAATGTTGTATAAATATCACAGCAAATAACTCTTAATCTCAAAAATGCGCAATATTAAAAGAATGGCTATTTCTGTTGCCTAAATTATTAAAGATTTAGCCTTTATTGTTTCAGATTAAATGATAGTTTTAAATAAAGTAACTCTGCATCCGTATTTCCAAGGTATGCTATCTTTTAAAAACTAGTGTCTATTTAAAATTTAGTCAACCAAGAAACTTAGCAGTTTACAAAATATTTTTTAATACTTACTATTAATTGACCACAAAAATAAATCAGAAAGTGCATGGTGTAATTCTAATGCTGCAATGCTGACTGCTGTAGTTCTGGGCTATCTATTGCTGTTCGGATTTGCTCCCTATGAGCTGCACTAGTTTTCTATCACAGGCTGCAGAAATCCTACCATCCCTGTCCTCCCTCCTCCTTTGCTAAATCTAAATTTTTTTTGAGGTTTTTCTTCTAAATTAACATTTGAATGTAATTAATAATTAAAGGCTACTCACCAACTTTATAATTTTTTTCTCATGCTAAATAATCAAGTACCTAAAACCCAGGTATTCAGAAGTTAAAGCCTTTCAGTTCTTTTATGTAAGACTTTGAAAAAGTTAACTGTTTTGGTAGTTTCCTTTCTACTGAAAGAATAAACTCAACAAAATTAGACACTTATACAATTATCTGAATTTGTATTCCACCCAAACAAAAGCAAAGAAGCACAGAATTCTGGTTAAAAAAAAAAAAACTAACAAAGAAATGACAAAGAAGTTTTCAAATGAGTAAAAGTTCTCATCTATCACCTTAAAAAAACTAAAAAAAAAATTCACCATTTTTAAAGGTTCACTTCATACACATGCTCAAAAGACCAGGTTTTTCTCCTTGTGTCAACTGTTGAGTCAATTCTAGAAGTGCTAATTGGTTAATTAGTTAAGTTTTTAAATAAGGTATCTGGTTTTAAAAAGAATGAGCCAAATTAATTACTATCTACTTCCAGGATCTAGAAGTAAATTATCAAAAAAGAAAAGAAAGAAAGAAAGAAGAAGAAACTCTCTGAAGTCTATAAAGAAGAAAGATTAGGCTGATCTTACCAACTTCTGAAATACACTATAAAACTCCACCGATTTTATCAATGTCTTGCAAAAAAAGAACCAAACCAGAAAAAAATTCAACAGCTAACTGCTCAAAATGTTTAGAAATGTTTATATCCATCAAGAACAAGGAACCACAAGTGGCATTAATGACATGATCAGGTAAATTTGTTATAAAGTTTAGTCTTTGATAAGTTAATGCCTGCAAATAATCTACCACTGTAATACATGAATAAGCTCAATGTTTTACTAACAAAAGGAAAAATAAGATATTTTGTGTTTTTACAGCTAACAACTTAGTAATACCTACTCAGAGCACATACTTCTTTATGTACCCATATGAACATACAATGCTATGGAATGTAAAGAAGTATGTATTTTTGGTAGGTAATAAGCCACCAAGAGAGAACTAAATGCTAAAAGAAGCCCTGGCTTCTTTCTACATGAATGGCTTTCATATGGTAAATTAACCTATTTTCAAGTAGATGACCTTTAGCGATATTAACACCAAAGAAAAAATACCTACTACTTATAGATGGAAACTAAACATCCCTATGATTTATACTTTGTAAAGTAAAAGTTCTACTGAAGTAGAATTCAAATTATAATGAAACTCATTTTTAAACATTAAAGTTTAAAATAGTACATTTTACATTTTTTGAGTACTCACATGATTTAAATGACCATAACAGGAAAAACAGATTACTAGCACAAAAGACTAAGAAATAAATATGATCTATTTTCTGCCTCCACAATTTGATTTTGATTTAAGTATACCACATTAGTAGAGCCAACAGATTTAGTAAGAAAAATAAGACAATGACAAAAGCTGACTTCACTAAGGCTTTAATGGCTATTTTTCACTTTTGGTAAGTTTATAATTATTAATATTAGAAAAATTTCTGAGCTAAAGTTTTCATTGTTTTGTTTTCTTTGTTGATAGCTATAGAAAGTCATAATTCTAAAAGATTATCATTTAAGTAAAAAGAAGTGGCCCTTATCCTTTGCAAGATTATCAAGTTTTTAACCTAATCTCCTTAAATGCTATGTTAAAATAATTAACATAGCATTTTAATTAAATGCTATGTTAAAATAATTAAAACATAAGAATAAAAGATAAAAAAAAATAACAAGATGCTGGGCCACGAAAATAAGTCAAGAGGGTATACTGGTAACAGACTGCCAAACTTTTAAAAGAAAGTATTACCTTTGAATCAGCTTTCTCCAACAGGGGCATATAAAATGAAAATATTATAATCAAGATCCAACTTATACAGACAGAATAACCATTTCTATTAGTTATATTTCCATTTTTACAGACAGAATATATCTACTATATTTAGCATGTTATAGATATCAAAATACTTTTTTGTATTTTATGTAGTCTATTTTGTATAGTTATAAAAATTATAAATAAAGTTCTTAGCAATAATTGATAATTTTAAGCTACTATAAAGTTAGAAAAAAGAAAAGATACTAGTATTCATGATTCTTATTTCTTATTAAAAGTTATTTCAACTGAAATATTAATACATATAAAAAAGTATAATATTATTTTAAATTTTTGTGTCAGAAATTGAAAAGAAATGACCATAGGTTATATTAGACTTAATTTTCTCTATTTAATAAGATACTTAAATTATAAAAAGCATGTTTTGAAATTATTCATTTTCAAAGAAATTAATTCAAATCTTAACTCATTTAAACATAGCCCTTCTGGACATCCACCAAGAAAAATGCCAATGCTTCATATTCCACTAAGTTTACTACTGTACATATCCTAAATACCAAATGAAAATATATGCCTCAGAAGTAGAGTTTGTTCTATAAACTACTCAACGGATATTATTCTACTTATGTTTTGTAATGAACTTATTCTTCAAGTATAAAAGGTTTTAATAATTCTTTTTAAACATTCCAGCAACTAAGAATTTCTTTTCTATTATACTGAGTAGATATAATCCTTAGAAAATAAAATGATAGGATATTTATTTATAAAGAAAAATTATAAACTGATTCTAGTGCTTACAAATTTAGCTTAACATATCAGAATATTTTCAATCACTCTAAAATGTCACATCCATCACTTAGATCAGCTGTTCATTTTTAACTGAGTACATGTTAAACTCTGGGCATCTGCTGACACTGGTGTAACTCAAACATTTCAACTGTCTCCCTGACAGGGATAACAGATGCTGACATTATCAAATGCTGTACTATTTTTTTCCCATGGTCTCTCCTTGCCCCGATATGGCCAGTATATGAAACTGAACTGCCATCCAAAAGCACACTTGAGCAACTGGATCTGCTAAATGGCTCCCATATAACTACTAAAATTAGAAGCCAGTGTTATTGCTATCTTCAGCACTTAAGTTCAGGCCATTTAACACCTGTTTCACAAATAAATGATAGAAAGAACTGTAGTGACATTAATTTCACCAGCAGCATGATACTTAAGAACCAACAGATGCAGAATACCCTTCAGAATTGTTTGAATGTTGCCCAAGATAGTGTTGACCTTCTCCCACTTCAGTTCAAAACAGTAACTATAAAAAATTTTTACTCTCTATATTTCATTGAGTCTTATTTTATAGACATTATTTTATAATTTACCAGAGTTGTATTTTATGCAAGTTTCAACACTAAAACCATATTATAACAAATTTAATGTACTGATTTCAAAGTTTACATGGTAGATTTTTTTTTATTTCAAGTTCTATAAACAGTTTAATGAGTGAAAATTTGGTACACTAAAGCCCCAGACAGCAGCATAGCAGCATGTGTTCAACAGAATACATGGTACATTTTAATACTCAAAATTCATGGATTGTAGCTACAATCAATGGTGATAATAAGAAGTTAACTAGGCAATCTACTCAAAATGATGAAGAATTTAGTCAAGGAAATAATCATTAAAAGAGTTAAGTTACCAACCCATTATTAGCAACCCTACATAAGCAAAACCAAAGTAAAATGAGTTGGCATGCGCAGCAGTTCCTCCCACCACCAAGTCCGAGCAATACACTGAATTCATGTGTGATCTATTTATAAACCAAAGGGCACGGATTTTCCTAAGGCCACTCATATTCCTCCACCCCATCACCAACTTGCTACTAATCCTCAACTATACTACTAAAAAAAGCAGTGGCAGTAGAAATGTTTGACTAACATTACTCTTCCCCAACTTTTAGTTTAACCAAAGAATATGGTTAAATACCTAGAGATAAGTAGAAAACATTACTCTAAAGTATATCCAGGTCTATTCGTTCTTTTAAATGTTGCTGGTTTTGAAGGAAGTTACTGCTTACAGTTAAGAATTAAGCAAAGCTGTTAAAACAAAGATGTACAATGATAATTAAAAATGTGTTAAAAGGAAGAAACTTCCAAATTTTAAGAATAAGATATAGTAGGAAACGTTGCCTTCAAAATAGAAAATTTTATTTTCAATGACTAAAGCATTGACAGGAAACTTTTAACACTTGTAGATGGCCCATAACTATTATTTTTATAAATGAAAAGCATTTAACCGTTTTGGATCCCAAACTGGCAGCACTACAATGCTTTGCTAAAGCTGGTAAAATGGAACCAAATCGCCTCTTCAATGGATTTGGTCCCCTTCAACCAGCTGTAGCTATGCATTGATTACTACAGGAGAGACGACGGTTCACTCATGAATATCAGTTACCTGTCAACTAATTTCACCTTAAGCTATTCATACTGTGGATAAAATAAAATAAATTGTTAACTGTTAATTCTACTTGAAAAGACTATAGTAAAGATGTTTATGAAAAGCTTTATGAAAAATGTGCAAATGACTTGGATTCAAATAAAATAATTTTACTTAATTATGGTCTCTTGGTATTAAATTTCTTATTCTTCAGACAAGATATAATAATTAAATGCAAACTATACTTCATTATAAAAATTAAAAACTTCTTTTAAAGGAAGGATGTATCTGAGAAGTTCACCTGAAAATATCATTAGAATGCCAATACATATTACTGACCCATGATTCACATGGACACGGATATACTTTAAATTAAAGAAAACTATAAATAAAGTAACACCCTAGAATGTTGAGTCACTATCTTTCATAGGATTAGCCTTTAATTTCACCATTTTATATGAATATTAGCAGAAAGTGAAAGGGAGAGAAAACGTAGGATATTTTAAGGAGACTTAAGCAAATAAGCATATAGTTCTTCTGACCCTGAATCATAAAGATCTGTGATGTTCAAAAAAGAAAATGCTAAGTATTGCTACTTTTAACTCATAAAGTTATTTCAATTCTCCATAATTGTTTCCTCAGTTGTAAAATGAAGTTCTCTGCTAATAAAACATTTTTAAGTATTTTTTTAGTTGTACATGGACACAATACCTTATTTTGTTTATTTTTATGTGGTGCTGAGGATTGAACCCAGTGCCTCATAAGTGCTAGGTGAGCACTCTACCACTAAGCCACAACCCCAGCCCTAATAAAACATTGTTACTTTTCAGTCTTCTTTGTCCTTTATAAAAAAAAAAAAATTACACACACACACACACACACACACACACACGTGTCTGTCTCAGTGGAGAAAAACTAAAGGGAAAAATGACAAGTGATCCAACATCGACGTAATTTTCTTAATAACTTCAGTTAATTTAATGTTCTTTAATAAAGAAACAAACATTTCAACAACTAATGGATATTACTAAAGGCAAGCAACAGTAATTAGAAAACCCAAATGTTCACATAATCCTCAAATCCTGACCCCTCCTCTATTTCAAAGTGAAAACTTGTCCCTAAAAGAAAGTGGGCAAAGAAAGGTATATATAAATATATATCATCACTGTGTTCAAGCTAACAGAACTTCATGCTTACATTAATTATATCTCAGTCACATTATTTATAAGCATTTATTAAAAGAAATCTGTTTGAGAGTAGATGCATGATAACACATTAGAGAAAAGGGATACACTAAAAGTATTCAATTATGCAATAAATTTTCAGCTATTTTTTGTATAGCCCTCAGCTGTTTAGAATTTAGAATTATAAAGAAAAGCATTAAACACCAAGACAGGTCTTCTTCAGATTATCAAATCTTCCTATATTTAATATAGTCTCATTTACCATTAAGACTGTATTTTGAAATTGATAAACTTAAATAAAGCTATCATAATGTTCTAGAGGGAAAACTCACATTCTCAATATGATTTATCATGCCTCTTTGTGGGTATAAATAAATGAGCAAATGAAAACTGTCTATGAAGGTATCATAGAACAAAACTGAAAACAAGTATATCATATTACACAGTAACATGTATTGTTACTTTTAACATTCAATTTATATTTTAAAAATTATATATAAAATATCTGTATAATGGTATCAGTTCCCTCCAAATACTTATTATTTTTGCCAGCTCTGCAGAGAAAACTACTATTTTCATGCCTGTAAGGGAACTCTGCAAACTTAAAGGCAGCTAAAATACAGTATCCTAACACAGAGTACCTAAGTAACATGCTGATTTATAATTCAAAGAAATTTAGTTTTCATTGTTGTCAGCAGAAATAATTCTGCTCTTGATTTAAATCAGAAATGTATGGAAAAATAAAAACAACAGAAACAGAAGATAAGACAACTGAACTGCAGGGGAAAATGTCTCTATAAATATCAAATATGGGGCTGGAGATATAAATCAGCAATAGAGCACATGCCTGGCAAGCAGGAGGCCCTACGTTCAATCCCCAGCACCACCAAAAAAATGTTTTTAAATAAATAAATGCCACATATCAGAATTCATAAACAGTATTGTTGATAGTTAAAATTTCTAAAAAACTATATTAAAACATATAACTGCTATTCTAAAATGGAGCAAATGACCAAATTATAAATGGAGCAAATGACCAAATTTATAAATGACCAAAAGCATACTGTGTTTCATAGTGAAACTTATATTCTAAAAGAAACTAATGGCTGCCACACGTGATGGCACACACCTGTAATCCCAGCAATTTGGGAGGCCGAGTTAGGAGTATCACAAGTTCAAGGCCAGCCTCGGCAATTTAGTGAGACTCTGTCTCAATAAAAAATAAAAAGAGCTGAAGACGTGGCTCACTGGTTAAAAACCCCTGGATGAAATCCCTGGTATCAAAAAAAAAAAAAAAAGAAAGAAAAAGAAGAAGCAGATGGCGTTAATATAAATAAATAATTTTGCTGGGCACAGTGGTGCATGCCTGTAATCCCCATGGCTTGGGAGGCTGAGGTAGGAAGATCAGGAGTTGAAAGCCAGCCTAAGCAAAAGCAAGGTGCTAAGCAACTCAGTGAGACCCTTTCTCTAAATAAAATACAAAATAGTGGCTCAGTGGTCAAGTGAACTATAAATAGATAAACAGATAAATAAATGTCTTTATTCATTTGCTATCATACGATGAGGAAACATCAAGATCAGTTTTGAAATTTTAACATCTATATTAATCTGAACCTTTGAAATCTAGATTTCAAAGTACATCCTTCAAAAATATAGGATATCTATACACATTTTAAAGACTGGGATAATGATTTTTTTCTTTAAAAAAGCACATCCAGTAACTAACTCTACTGTGTTATTGATCATTGCTGAAAAATTAACACTGCTAACTAAAAGCAAAGCCAGGGGATAGAATTGTACTTAAATTCCACATATACACACATCCACATGTAAATTTTGTGAACTTTTCTTACATTTTAATCATAATAAATGGAAATAATTATAAACAAATTCTTCTGCTGGTACTGTTACACTCACAGTGTTGTAACTAATATACTATAGAAAAAACACATTTTAATAAATAAAAAAAAAAATCACAAAAGTAGCTAAAAATTACACTAACTAAAGTAAATCAATTGCAATTAAAATGAACTATATGTGAAATCCAAAAGTTAAGCCATTTATATTAGATAAGCATAACTTCAGACTAAAACAGAAATCACAAGGACAAAACTGAAACATTAAAAATTGAAGGTATTAGATTAATTAATATTTAAAAAACTATAAAATGCTCATAAGTGAGGAAAAAGTGTTTGTACATTTATTAATCATATTTATATTTAATATTTTATCAAAAAATGGCAGGTTAAATTCTGGAAATTAAATAAAGTATTATATCTGCTTTTCTAAAATAACAGTAAAGGCCAAAGAAGTTCAATATTATTGTTTTTTATTCTGAGTCCACTAAAAATGGTTCCTTCTTTCTTTTGACATTACTGGTCATTACAGAAAAGAAAATATGATATGAAACAGAACTCAAAACATCCCAACTTGCAATTTCAACTGATACATAAACTGTACCATTTTCTGATGCTCCTTGGTGTTCAACTAAAATCACACTCTATCAATCTATAGTCATAATTACCTAAAATGTTTTACAGAGGATTAAACAAGGCACAAAGCTTTAACTGAAACACCACTTGGTTATAGAATGAAAGCATTTTTCCTTTTATAAGAAACGTCACCTGACAAGAATTATATTCTAGGGAATACTTGAAGAAATAGAAGAAAACATATTTCTTCTGCATAGGCCTAGCATTATTGAATATACCATGCCTACTCCCCATCAAAATGAAACAACTGGAGGGTTCAGTTGATACAGTGCTTGGCTCAAATGCACAAGGCCCTGGGTTCAATCCCCAGCACCTTAAAAAAAAAAAAAAAAAGGTAACAATTCAAAATATTTAAAAATGTTTGTTTCCCAAAACATTTTTATTTCTAGTTAAAATTTGTGGTTTGATACTTTATGGTTTAGGGGCTGGGGTTGTGGCTCAGCAGAAGAACGCTCACCTAACACGTGTGGCATCCTGGGTTCCGTCCTCAGCACGACATATAAATAAATAAAGATATTGCATCAACTAAAAATATTTTTAAAAATACGATTTAATACTGTAATCTAAATTCTCCCAATAAAATATCTTTCTAACCATTCTTTCTTTATTATTATTTTTTTAATGTGGTGCCTAGGACAGAAGCCAGTGCCTCATGCATGCTAGGTAAGAGTTCTACCACTGTGCCACAACCCCAGCACTCTAACCATTCTTATTTGAAGTGACTGCTCTACTTGAATTCAACAGTTTCCACACAAAATGCATTCTGTAATTAATCATACAATATCTTGTGAAATCTTATACTGTCCTTACTGTCAAATTAAGAGTAACATTTATTAAGTGCTTATTTTTCTCCAAGCATTGTGGAGGATATACAGATGCCTATGAGCACCCACAATTTTAAAAGAAAACACAGAAATGCATTACTAACAGATAGCATTAGGCAGATTATAGCACATGCAATACAGAGAAAGAAAATAAAGAACAAACAGAAAAATAATGCCAATGATGAAACCGAGAAGGTGCTGGAGAAAAGATGGCCACAATAAAAGGGAGAGAGAGAAAGAGTGAGAGCGCAAGTGCATTCCAATGATAGAAATGCTTTTTAAAAAAGGAAAAAAGCAACTAGCGTATTTTAGTAAAGGAAAACAGTATAAAATATAACATAGCTAAAGGGCAAGGTAGGCCGAAGAACTTAAACTAATGCCAGATAAAAGTTAGAAATTCTGTCCAGGTCAAGATATATCAGAGATGGATATAAATGCCAAGCTAAGGTATACAGATTTTACTATGTATAATAGGAAACTACTAACTGAGAACAAGAAAGGGATGTCATTGGATCTATGCTTTTAAAATGATAACTGTATGGAAAGTTAAATCCACAAGAATATTTAGAAAGATACTGTAATAGTCTAAATAAAAATTATAAGTAATTTATTAGGTAAACAACAGTGGGAATAGAAAGACTGGAATGGATTGGAAAGATTCATAGAATAAACAATTTTTGAACTGGATACTGAAATTAGTGAGAGCAGTCAAAGAAGCCTTAGCAATGAGGTAGCAAGAGGAATGATGCACTATACACCATTTGTGGTTAAATCATTCGTTGTCCTTGTGTCCTCCTCTCATATATAGACCATAAATCATAAATAGTAAAGTGCTTTAAGAGCTATGTTTCTAAAATCACACTCTGCTAGAATTCTAGCTGTTTTTCCAATCAGTTACATAATCTTGGATAAGTAAATTCATTGCTATAAGCCTCATAATCCTTACAATCTTCATCTATGAAAAAAGGATATTAATCTCTTCCCAAAATGCTACTAAAAGGGCTGAGGAGGGGTGTTGCTGAAAGGATCAAGGGTTAAGTAAGATAATACATGTAAAGTACTTCCTAGAGGCAGGTGCTATCATTATCATCATCACCAATTTTAATTGAAGGGCACAGAACATATAATAGTATTCTATCTCCTTCACATGAAAAAGTATGAAGTGTTAAAATATTTGTAATATAAAAAAATTCAAGACAATATCTAAAATACGGTCATTCATTTCATCCTATATTATATACCCACTCTTATGAACATCAACAAGCAACAGCAATAAAATCCTTCTGTTTTCTGTGATCACCCTCTAGTGGTGATCCTAAGAAGCTTTAAAAGAAAAAAAAAGGCAAAAACTTAGAAGGAAACATGTAAAAACAGGAACCAAAGAATAAGAATTCAAGATAGAATTATCAAAGTGAACATTTTCCTCAGTAATACTATGTAGGCTTGATTCAAATATAAGGAGAATAAGGCAGAAATTCCTAAAATGTATCTTAAGGTAAATTTGTTCTTAAAAATACATTCATAAAAATCTCAACATTAAGCAACGCAAAGCATGCTCCTTTTCTGGGGACTATGCAGATCCTTTATAAATAATATGACTGTCCAAAAGCAGACTTTCTCAAATATTAACCAGCAAACCCTTTCTTCAGTACAACACCTAGTACTTTAACAGTGACTAGGGTTCACCTACACTACAAGTATATATAACTGATTATTCTGTTAATAAAAAATCAGATAATTTTATATTTATTTAGCTGCAAGTTAAAAAAATAATTACCATGCAAATGGATAACACTGGATGAGAGAACACCTTGAGAATGACTTTGAAGAAACAAAAATCTCAAAATGAAATGCATTTTAAACCTTTAGACATAAGCCAGTATTACTGATATTTTATATCTACATTTAATATATATTTAGTCACTTCATGATATTTGTATTAGTTTTAAAAACCAAATAAATAATATAAAACTAATCTATTAAACGATGGCATACTCTATACAGATCTTTAAAATGACATAAAATACTAAAATTAGCAGAAATTATTTTCTTATCAGTCTCGGGAAAAGAGAACCAAGCATAGGGAAATATTTCTATGTGGCACCTAAAATAGTAAAAGGTGCCATTTTTACCTGGGATTTCCTCTTAGTGCAGCATGATGTAGAGCATTAAATCCATTATTGTTTGTGATGGTAACATCCGCTCCAGCTTCCAAAAGAACTGCCAGGATATCATCACGTTTCTTACTTATGGCATCATGAAGAGGGGTATCACCTTCAGAATCCTTTTTATTTTAAGTTTAAAAAGACTTTCATTAGTTCTCCTTCAATTAATCATTATGCCTAACAGTAACATATTAAACAAAGAAACTATTAAACTATTAAACAAAGAAAAAGAAATGGAGGCCATACCCAACAATTATTAATAAGTGATCATCCTCTATATTAAACATGTAAATGCAGATAAGAAACATATACATTAAAATAAAGTCACACCATTCACTGTTGTACCCCCAAAATTCTATACTGAACCTACACTAGTTTCAGGCCCAATAAAAATGAGTTTAAAATCAATGTTTTTCAATGTTGGCTGCACATTAGAATCTGCTTGGAGTTCTTAAAACTCCTGAGGCCCACCAGGCTGCTATCCAGACCAAATAAATCTCTGGGGGTGAGAGCCAAACATTAGTAGTTTTTCAGAGCTCCAGAGACAAATATATAATGGAGTGATATGTAAGAAACATTAACCAAAGTATTTTCAAAGGGCAGGGAAGTGATTATCTCCAAAGATAAATGGTTAACACACATCACAGATTACGTAGGTCAAAGCAGACATGAGTATAAAGGAAAATTTAACAGTAAATTAAGTTTTACTAGAATTGGCTGCCTCATTCTAGAATGATTGACCTATATAGTAGAGATATAAAAGATATGAAAATCTATAATACTGTCTGGTTCTTTACAGAAAAAGTTTGTCAATACAGGCAATATATTTATCCACCTACATAGGGATTCCTAACACCAAGTTCAACCCAACCATCTACTGTCTATCTTCCTGAATCTACTAACACTAAAAATTTGCAGTCTTCAATTTGATATGAGCTCTTTACATGATCAAATATGCTTCTACAGGTCCCTGTTCTGTACCGCCTTCTGATGCCCACAACAGCTATTCCAAACCTGTAGCACTGTTCTTCTCAATTCTCTACCTCAACCCCAACTCACACTCTCATTATATAACCTTGCCTCCAATTTCTGACAAAAATGTTCAATAGATATAAATTCCCTCTTCTTTAACATATTAACACAACACCTCAGTTCCTTCTCCATCTTCCAATCCTGTCAACCACTAAGCCTATACCCTAGAACCTGTCAGTATCAAAATGGTTCTCACTCCCACAACTTCTATTCTTTATTACCTCTCTGAGATCTATAAATTCTCTGGCTGCTGTGAATTATCTAAATTACAAACAGATTAAGATCTCAATGATTCTCCCCTTTTTGTTTTAATCAATGTATTTCCAATTTAAACAAAGTAATTTGTACATATTCAAATAGTGTTTTAAATACCATTCTTTATTGGAAAATAACACACTATTTCAAGCCTGTGCTGTTAAAGGTATGACAGAAAACAATCTAGAAATGAACCTAGAATTTGGCAAATCATTATTATGTACTTTTTTATTTTACTATTAAATTATTAAGCATTCATACCAAATTTCAACCTGACAGGCATGTATAAGATGGGCAATTTTAACAACCAAACTAAGTACTTCATAAAGACAGACTATATTTCCCTTATATATATGGTTTAGTTCATCTAGACGTTAACTGTGGCTAGAATTATTTCTTAGGTGATTTTTGCTTTAAACCTAAAATTACCCACTGTCACCAAAAAAAAAAAAAATAGGTATGAATGCTTAATAATTTAATAATAAAATAAAATAGTACATGATAATAATTTGCCAACTTCTAGGTTCATTTCTGTCAATCAACCTTAAAACACTATTTTCCAAATTAGAAAATCTCCAAAGACTAGACTAATACCTAGACCAAGACCCTAAGATAAATTAAGTTACAATGAAGATTATTTAAGTTTATGAAGTAACTTGCACAATATAGCTTATTTTATGCTGCTGAAATTCACTGTCATGATCAATAAAGTTAAATCAATGTCTCTAAGTTGATATTTTTCAAGAAGTTCTCACCTGCACCCCTCAACCTAAACCCAATCTTTGGAAGACATCTTATTTAAAAAGTTTTTCTAGGAAGGAATAGCTGCCAATTTTATGACATTCTATGCCTTCAGTATCCTTTATCATGACTGGCTATACAAAAAAAGAAAGGTAACAAAGGAGTGCTTACCACAGAACTGAGTGCTTTCTTTTAATAGGATGCTGGCAATACCTGGAAATATTATTTCTTTAAAAGTCTTACCTGGAGACTAGGATGACAACCAAAGTCCAATAAAGTCTTTACAACTTGAAGATGACCTTTATTGACAGCAATGTGAAGTGGTGTCTGTCGACGCTTGTTGCGAGCATTCAAATCAGCACTACCCCGGTGTAATACTTCTATAACAGCACCTTCATCTCCAAAGGCTGCATGGTGAACTGCTCTATCTCCATCTTTATCCTATATGTTAACGTTCAAATCTGAATTAGTGATATTTAACAAAGAGAGTCAAACCTTGAAGCTTAGTAACATATCAAGAACCAGATTAATTTGGGAAAATGAAATAATAGAGTGGAGTCAACAAAATAATTAGAAACTGTCTTAAACAGTGGTTATCTCCAAAGATAAATGATAAACATAGACCAATATCTCATACATAAACACTTGACCAATAATTAAGTCACTAATCCTTCACTGCTTCTAATTTATCAGCCATGATACTAAATCATTAGGAAACTGTTAAACTACATGATTTTTTGGCCCTTTAAAACATTTTATAAAGACTTTTTTAAAATTTTTTTTTTTAGGTGTGGATGGACACAACACAGTGCATTTATTTGTATGTGGTGCTGAGGATCGAACCCGGGTCCCGTCCATGCTAGGCGAGCACTCCACCACTGAGCCACAATCCCAGCCCCAAGACTTTTTAATGACACAAAAATTACACTAAATTAGTTGAGTCATTTTTAAAAATGATGTCAAACAATGTGATCTCAATTAGCTTTAAGGGGATAAATACATTAACATGCTAACAGTGACTACTGGTTACCTCTAAGTACTAACCATATACTCTTGTATATTTGAGGACCAAAAAAAAAAAAAGTTCAAAACCTTTAAAAGACAAAAATGAAGCATGAAACTGCAAATTCCATATATCCAAAATGCTAAAACTCTTTCAGAGAAATCAAATATAATTCCCATATCTTCTATAATAAGCATATTTCTGAAGAGAGGGCAGGAAAGTTTCAGTTGTGTGTTTTTGTTTTTTTTTAAAAGGAAAAAAAGGCTGAAATATACCATGAAGGTGATATATTTAGTTCCACACAAAAGAAGTCTCATTAGCTTCCCAGAGAGATACAGATACGGAAGGTTTTTATAAGGGTAATGTCTTTATATCAATACTACACCCCAAATTTTGATACCCACAAGCAGGCATGCTTTAAAACTTCTTCCAGAGCCATGATTCCCAATCTATGCATCCAATCCCTGATGGACTCCCTAGTTTACGCAAAGGGTTTGAAAATCCACGTCACCAAAGATCATCTGAACTACTTTGCAAAGATAAACCCAGATAAAAACTGTTATGATTGAATACATTAAAACGAACAAATAGATCATTCAAAACAGTTACTGAATTCAAAATTTTTTTATCTTCATTTTCTCAAACACATATTGAAGGCAAAATCACTTGTGTAGGAATCTGTAACACTTGAACAGCCATTCTTGAAAAGGCAAAACTTTGACTTTGGAAATTTCTACCTTACTAGTATTTTTACCTGAATTAATTTTAGGAGTTTCTACTGCCTATAAATCAAGAACAAGGGCTGGGACTGTAACTCATTGGTAGAGCACCCACCTCACACATGTGAGACACTGGGTTCAATCCTCAGCACCATATAAAAATAAATAAAGATACTGTGTCCAACTACAACTAAAAATAAATTAATTAATTAATAAATAATCAAGAACAAAGGAACTTGAAAACAACCACATGAAAGATTTAAGATTCAACTCTTGTGTTTCCTAAGCAGCAA